CACTGCATCCTAGCACACAAAGAGCAGAGTACCAACTAGACTAAACTTGCCCACAAATGAAGAGTGTTTCTTGCTCAGGTTTTCTAATGTCAAGTATATTGTCTGACAAACAGTGATGAAATTAGTAACATTCTCTAAATCATCTCATCTATGTGAATGCGTAATAGCTGCACACTTTTCACACTGGATAGACTTCCTTGATGATTCTTTTGGGAAAAATTGATGACAATTGAATTTATGAACCTTGTACAATGGGAATTTAGATGTACTGCTCACTGAATGTTTTAAAGCTGGAAGGAAGGTGAGGAGTAATTTAGAACCTCTCATTCATTGCACAACAGAGGGAACTGAGGCACAGAAAGACGTTATGACTTCTCCAGTGTTTACTATAATTCGCATGCATTCTTAAACTCTCCCCACACTACCCACAATGACTTTGAAATTTTATGCCTTTTGGAGTCAGGGTAATTCTAGGTCTTGTTATAGGTAAATTGGAGTCCTGGGCTTGGAAAATTGGAAGGATGGTATGGCTATATAGTATGAACATTGGCAAGCTTATGTGCTTTAAATGAAATAAAGCACCATGGAGAAGAAGAAACAAACCACAGACTGGGAGCATCCTATGAAAAATAGAACATATCATGCAATCCCCATGTTTCTCACTACTCTCATGAAGACGATGTAGAGCTATACCTGCTTGTGTGCACCAATTTTCTTATTGCCAAACACAGTATTCTTATTTTTAATTAGAAAGTATTTTTCAATCAAACAAGTGTTAATCTATCAAAACAAACAATAGAAAATGAGGCAGAAAATAAACAAAGACACAGAAGAACTTAACACTTTTCAAGTGCTCTAGAACATTCACCAAGATTGATCATATCCTGGGCTATAAATTATATATTAACAGGTTGAAAAATGAGCTTTTATTTAGAATATATTATTGAATCAAAATGGAATCAAAATAGAAATCAACAACAGAAAACAAGATAATTCCAAAATTCTGAAAATAAAAAAAAATCATTTGTTTCTAAGTAATCTATGTGTTAAGGGACAAAAATCTTGGGAAATTTTTAAAAATACATTGAAATAAATAAGAATAAAAATACAACAAATCAAAATTTCTGGAATGAAGTTAAAACAATGCTCAGGGGACAGTTTAGAGAACCAACACTTACAAAATAAAAGAATGTCTCAAATCAAGAATTTAAGTTCCAAATCAAGTAGAAGACCACACAAGCAGAAGAAAGAAAATAATAAAAAGAGCAAAATTTAATTAAATGGGAACATTAAAACAACAGAAAAATAATAAAACAAAAAGTTGACTCTTTGGAAAGGTCAGTGTAATAAGCTTGTAGAAAAAATGAGAAAAGATGATGCAAAGTACCAAGATTACAAATAAAACAGGAGGTCATAATATGCCCAGCAGACATTTATGTGTCTTTGCATGTCAATTTGAAAAGAACTGAACAGTTCACACAAACTTGACCCCTTCAAAGAAATTGACCAATTCCTTGTAAAGCACAAACTACTGCAACTTAACCCAATATGAAATTGATCATTTTAATAAACTCATTATTGAAATAAATTTGTAATGGAAAATGCTCCCAGAGAAGGCATCTCCTGGCCCAGAATGTATCATTGGATAGACTATCAAACATTTGAGGAAGTAACWCAAACCCTTACATGACACAAAATATGTTCCAAAAAACAGAAGGTGAGGGAGTACTTCCATACATATTTTATGAAGCTGGTATTGCCTGGCACCAAAACCAGTTTTAAAAAAAAAAAACAAAAGAACAAAGAAACCTATAGACCAAAGTCCCTCATGAACAGAAATGCAAAAATTCTTAATCAAGTATTAGCAAGTATTTGCAAACAATAATTCAGCAAAGAATGAAAAGAATTTTTTTAAAACAGTATGACTAAATAACATGACCAAGTTTATTCCAGGTATGTAATACTGGTCATGTACTGGAAAAAAGAAATCAATCAGTACTATCCACCCTGTTAACAGGCCAAAGGAGAAAAAAAAATCACATGATTCTTTCAATTGATACAGTAAAAGCAYTTGGCAAATTTCAATAGTCATTCATGATTAAATAAATAAATAAGTCAGAAAACTAGTTATTTAGGAAAATTTTTCAATTGGACAAAGAACATATACAAAATACCTCCAGCTGATATCTTATTTAGTGTTGAAATACTGACACTTTGCTCCTAAGATCCATAAAACAACAAGAATGTCCCCTCACATCAGTGCTATTCATCATAGTGCTGGAAGTTCTAGCCAGTGTAAGTCAGCAAGAAAAGGAAATAAAGCACATACATATGGAGAAACAAGAAAAAAACTTCTTATTTGCAGATGACATGATGGTATACATAGAAAACCCTAAGGAAACCTTCAGAAAAAAAAATCCTAAAACTAGCAAAACTCATAAACTTCAGCAAGTCAGAAGACACAATATCAACATACAAAAAGTATTTGCTTTCCTGCATACCAGCAATGAACAGAGGAAAAATACAATTTGAAAATACAGTACCACTTACAATCACTCTAAAAAATAAAATACTTTGGTATGATCTAATAAAATATTTTAGAACTCATGTTAACCACTAATATAAGAAGTTAAAGATGATGTAAATAAATGGAGAGAGATTATGTTCATAGATTAGAAGACTCAACACAGTAAAGCTGTCYAGTTCTTTTCAAATTGACATGTAAAGTTTCAACACAATTCTCACCAAAGTACCAGCAAGATTTTTTGTAGATACAACAAGGTTATTCTAAGATTTATATGGAAAAGCAAATGTACTATAAGAGTTAAAATAATATTAAAAAGAGGAATAAAGAGAATAAATTACTCTATCCAATTTCAAAACATATTGTACAGCTGCAGTAATCAGAACTGTGGGTACTAGTAGTGTGGCAGACACACAGATAAACAGAACAAAATAGAGAACACAGAAAGAGCTCATACTAATCAAGACATCTGATTTTTGACAACTGCCTAAAAACAATTCAACAAGGACAGTCTTTTCAACAAATGCTGCTGGAGTAATGGGAGATTCATGGGGCAGAGGGAAGATAATAKATCAAAACCTCACACCTTTATTTTATATAAAAATTAACTTCAGTAATGATTTACAATGTAAAACAGAAAAGGATAAAATTTTACAAGAAAATCCTAGTAACTATAGCTACTCTTAAGAGTTCTTAGACATTAGTCTAAAAAGCATACTCCATCAGCAGAAAATCAAGAAATTAGATTCGTCATCAATATTACAATCTTTCCTCTGTGAAGGAAAGATCCTGTTGAGAGTATGAAAAGGCAAACTACAGAGAGGACTAAGGACTCATATCTGGAACTCTCAATAGAACTCTCAATACTCGAAAGTAAAAAGACAAATAAATAAAACCAAACAATCCAACTTTTAAAAGGGCAAATAACATGAAAAGACATTTCAATCAAGAGGATGTGCTCACAACAAATAAGCACATAAAGAGAATTCAATTCCACTAATAATTAGGGAAATACAAATTAAACCACAATGGGATGTTAACCTATTAAATATCATATCTAATTCAGCAGCTAAAATAAAAAATGGTGACAATGCCAACTGCTGGAAAGAACACAGAGACGTTGGATCCCTCAGATATTGCTGGTAAGGATGGGAAAAGAGTCCAACCACTTTGGAAAAGAGTGTGACGGTTCCTTGAAAACAGAAGTTGAGAGTAGAATGGGGGTGACCAGAAGCTGGGAAGGTGGAATGGAGGGATAAATGGGGAAAGGACAAATAAATAAAACCAAACAATCCAACTTTTAAAAGGGCAAATAACATGAAAAGACATCTATGGTTTAATTGGTAGGAATAAGAAGTTCTCATGTGCTTTTACATAGCAGAGTGACTATAGATAACAAGTATGTACTATATATTTCAAACATCTAGAACAAAGGATTTTGAATGTTTTTACCATAAAAAAATATTTAAAGAGATTAAGTTTACCCTGATTTAAATATCACACAAAACACATGTGTCAAAACATCATATGGAATCCCATAAGTATGTATTTTTTTGCCTCTATTTGAATCAAATGTATGATATGTCAAGATCATTGTATTGTCTTGAACAACCAATAATAAAAAAATAAAGTTTTCAGTGAACAAAATTTAAAAAAGAGAATAAATTGAAAAAAATACAGTAATCATAGCAATTATACTCCTGGGCCTTATCACAAAGAATAAAATTGTATGCCCACACAAAAATCTGCATACATGTGGACCTATCATTTTACTTATAAGAGACAAAACCTAGAAACAACCAAAATGTGCCTCAATTGATGAATGGATAAACAAACAATGGTACATCCATGCCACAGAGGACTATTCAATGACTATAATAAATTACTGATACACAAAACTGCTTGAGTGGATCTCAAAATTATTTTGCTGAATGAAGAAAAGTCAGGGGCAGGGGATATAGCTCAGTTGGTAGAGTGCTTGCCTTGCATGCACACAGCCCTGGGTTCAATCCCCAGCACCACCAAAAAAAAAAAAAAAGAAAAAAAAGAAAGAAAGGAAAAGTCCAACTCAAAAGGTCAATGACTCCATATACTTCACATTCACCAGATGACAAAAATATCAGAGTGGAGAACAAAATAGGGGCTGGTGTTAGGAATTTTAGGAAGGAAGGGAGGTGTGACTATAAAGTGACAGCAAGAGGGAATCTTTGTGGTCATGAATTAGTTCTGCATCTTAATTTCAATGGTCATCAGACAAATATATATGGGATAAAATGACAGAGAACCACACATAGAYACATCAGATCCATGTTAAACTTCTGGCTTTACTATTATACTATAGGTAGGAATTGTGTGATGAGTACWGAAAACCTCTGTGCTATCTTTGCAACACTTTGTAAATTTTAWAATTATTTAAAAATAAAAAATTTAAAATTTCATAATAGTATTTCCTATTGCAATAACAAACAATACTCACTTCCAATATCCGGCCTCAGCTTTTTATCATATTCTCTTAGCAATTTGTTAAGAATAAGAGTTACATCAGTGTCTTGGGATTTTGGAGCCAAGACCCACTTTTGGTTTGATGAAGAATCTTCATATTCATCCTCTTCCACCTTTCTGGACCTGTAATCATAACACAAAAATGTGACATATAAGTTGCAGAAACAGCAGCTGGAAGTGCCTTAAGTTTATCCTTTACAAGTACCACTGAAATGGGTAGAAAGTCCCCAGTTCCCTTATTCCAACCACTCACATCAACTACAAAATTTAAAAAGTAAAATGAAGTATACATTAGAAAGAATTCAACAGGAAAAATGCAACTGCTACTAATATGTCATAATGTTTTCATTAAATGTCACAAGACCATTCCCTGTCCATGTTAAACTACAGCCATTGTGACAGGTAAATTAATGTCAGAACAGTCAAAAGGCAATGGGCCATCCTTGAATGCATCTTGAGAAGCTCCCAAGGTCAAGGTACTAACCTTCCAGGGATTTGTCAGAGTTCACTTTATCATGTTGTCTCCACTTCCTACCACCAAAATCTCATTCTAGTTGAAGGTGAGAACAAATTTTGCAGAAGGGACTCATTAAAAATAGTTGGTTCTGACYATGCTTTTCCTGGAAACTGGAATCTAGGGCTTGAGGTAGGCATGCAGACATTCTGGGGTATCTTGCTTTACCAGCACTCTTGCCAGGGACAACAATCAGAAAAATGGTTGGTGAATATCCTCTGGCAATTTTACATGTTTAAGTAAAACACAAACTGATTCATTTCTTGAACAGCAGGCTACAGCGACATTAGGAATAAAATTTAATATGTCTTCCACATCTTGGGTTCTTAATAAGTGGATCCCAATGAATGCTTGGGTGTCTCTGCTTGTTTTGCAGGGCTGAACATGGAGATTCCCTCTCCCAGCTGATAAACACCAACAGAGTAGTTGAATTGAGAGGCCTCAAGATGGCAAGCAAGTTTTCTTAGTGAGTGAAGCCATCTCAACCACACAACCATTTGGGCTTGGAAAGCACAGTCTCTTCTGCCCTGAAGCAGCATTTACTTGCAGGCGGACTGTCACAGGCTGGCAGGAAAGCTTGTAAAACAAACCAATCACCTCCTTTCCAGTTTGTCAGTGTATGTGCCTTGACTATTTTCTCCTTCACAAGAGAACAAAACACAGAAAAGAAAACTGCATTGAGGTGGATTTGTCCTGACTGGGTATAGGCTCATTTCTGTTCATATTCTCAGCCAGGAACCAAAAATGCCAATGCTACATTAGGGCACTTGGGCTCTGGGAGATGAGTTTCCTGAAGTGAATATTTACAACTGACTAAATGATCTATAGTGAACATGAAATTAGTGAAAATTATGAACATTTTAAAGTTCAACCCTTCTAAAGTCTTCAGAATCATATGTGTATACACTGTAATACATAAAATGTATATATGCATGTAAATGAGTCTTTTATGAGTATTAAACCATATGGTAGACCAGAGCAGTTTTCAGATACTCTAAACCTGGATGAAAACAGTTGTCTCTCCTTATATCCTGCAGGACTCCTGCAGATATCAAAAAAAGGGGATGCTCAAGTCCCTCATATATAATAGCATCATATTTGCAATGATCTCCAGATATTTTAAATCATTTCTAAATGACTTAAAGTTAATAAAATATAAATGCTATTTATATAGTTGTGACACTATATTATTTAGAGAATAATGACAAGAAAAAAAATCTGTATGTGTCTATCAGAGATAATTTTTTTCCAATATATTCAATCCATAGTTGATTGAATCTTCAAATGCAGAACCCCTGGATGTGAAGGGCCAACTGTAACATGTTTATGAAATGCTGATAATGAATATATATCATGTCTTGTAGAATGACTTCTTGAATTCATTCTAGGCTGATCTTAAACTGTAATTGTATTTCTTGAATACCTATTTGCCACAGGTCAAAATAAAACATCCACAGAAAATATAAATTGCTGTGGATTTTTATTCACACTGAACACTCACCATCAATAAGAAATTAGGACATATATTCAGTAAGGAATAGACTAAACTGGTAGCAATGGTGCATACCTGCAATCCCAGTAATTCTGGAGGCTGAGGCAGGAGGATCACAAGTTCCAAGCCAGCCTCAGCAACTAGGCAAGATCCTAAGCAACTTAGCAAGACTGTCTCAAAATAAAAAGAATTGTGGAAGTGGCTGAGTGGTTAAGCGCCCCTGGGTTCAATCCCCAGTGCAAAAAAAAAAAAAAAAAGTCAACATTCACAAGACTGATTTTTTAAAATAAAAATAGCATTACAGAATGTTAAATGTTATTATAAGATTTTCGTGTTATCAGGGGCAATATAAGGAATATAAATTTTTATCATCTTGCAAAAACAAAATGAAGCATGGTTTTACACAACTGGAAGCCAAGCATTGCCCACAGGATCCGGCAGATCATTTCAGATTTGGAGACTGTAGAAAGGTGTTTGGAGACTGTAGAAGGCGTTTGAAGACTGTAGAAAGAGGCGTAACTCTCCTGGTGGATCATGCACAACATTCTCAGGACACCTTTCAACTCAGTCACATGCATTCCTCTCTCCCTCGGCCATGTCTCTCTCCTTTATTCCCTTTCCTCCTGGCCACCTTCCCCTACCCACCACTACAGAACTGGATTATGGTCTCTAGATTCAGTTATTTTCTACTGCCTCACTGGTCACATGTACACAGATGGACCACACTCACCGGCTCCTCCTCATTACATACACAGCCTTAGTTTCTGAAAATTACTTTGATCTACTTCAATAAGAGGTATTATAATGAGTCTAATTCTCCCTCTAGTGGTGGTGAGAGGATTTTCCTGAAATTGCATAAGCTTCTTCCTAGTGTCCATGGCAAGTGGAAGTGGGGGAACTGAGAAAGGGAAACTAGAAATGTTTTGTCTCACCCTTTCARGAGAGACAGCCAGGCCTCCAGCACTGAAGCTGAGTGGCATAATGCATAGTCCGGGCAGGGGGAGGGGCTTTGACCCCTCAGCTGCAAGCACTGTGCTTCTCCGGATCCTGAAAATGAAGCCTTATACTGCTCATACCAGACCTCCCAGCCCCACAGGAAAATTCCTGCTATGATAAAAAACAAATCTCACCTCAGTGGACCTACAAGGTGGATAAAACAGAACTTTTCTGTCTTTCTGAATTCTAAGTGAGTTACATATTATCTTTATGAACATTCTGTTACTTGGATTGTGGGATCTTAAAAAAAATCACTGAAATTCACTTTAAAAATAAATCAGTGATGTACTGTCGTTGTCACACAACTGTTCAGTACTCAGATGTTATTCTCATGCCATATACCTTCTCTTCATCCAGAAAGATAGAGGCAAAGTATGAAGTATTTTTAGACATTGAAAAAAGCTACTTAACCTCAGAAAGTAGGTAAGCATCCTTAAGGCATCCTCAATGTCCTGATGTGATTCAGTGTGTATTACTGTATAATAAATTTACCAATGGGGGGCTGGATAGGGAGCCCCATAAACTCAGAGAGTTACTGATACATCAAGCACAGGGGTCAGAATCTTTTATCACAGAACTTCAACTCTAGGAAAGCATGACAGAATGCAAATGAGAACACATTCAGAATTAATAGCTATTTTGAAAGATGACACAGGGCATCAGATTATTTTACATGTCTGTAAAACCCAAAGAACAAAAGCCCTTTTCATAGGAGAGATACATGCAATAAAATTAGTATAAAATTTAGACTTTTTTTCCCAAATGATGTGCAATCATGACTAGCAGGCTGGGAATTCAGATAAAGAACATATGAAAATCAGCAGTACATTTGCCTTGGCCAAATGAAAGGATTCCGAATCCTAAGAGATTTTATGTGTGTTTGGGAATCCCCAGAAACCTGGCTGCTAACAATCAGATATTATGATATCTTCCTACTGAGCACAATGGATAATGAAGAAAATAGGCAATTCTAGAATGTTCRTCTATAGATCTAATAGTGGATTACCTAATGCTAAACTACAGGTCATTTCTTTGAATTGGTGACAATAGAAAGGTCATGTAGATGTGACTATTGGCATTTATGTTGTGACTAGTGCTGTCTACCTCCAAACAGACTTATTTCCAGGCTCAGAAGACTGCAAACACCACATTTCCATGTGTCTTACCAGTCCCCTACTTATAAAGGAAGAAACTTAGTCTGAAAGGTTCAAGGGGTGCTCTGTCTCATTGAGAGTGCTGTCTATGAGTCATCAGTGGAGTTTGCCTTTTACACACAGAACTCAGCAAAGACCAGTGGTTTGAAGGAGAGGGCCAGGGTTTTCTTCCCGCATTTTTATCAGAGAAAGGAAGAAAAGAGTACCCTTCAGATTTTGTAGAATTTATTAATGTGTGTTCCTAGTTCCTTGTTATTTCATAAATATGAATGAAAATGCAAGACCTACTAAGCTGCAGAACTTGTGACCTACCAGAAAGCTCTGCAATTCTCTAACTTCCAGATCCAGGAAATGGACAAATGTCACAATTAGAGTGTTTGGGGAATAGAGGTGTGCTGTGATTCCTAGGGTTAGTGTAGGGGAAGAATCAGGGAGCTGCACTGATTTTCAAAGCGCAAGATAGTCTGCAAGATCTAGCCAGAGATCCAGGCTTGGAGACAGATTAAACCRTACCCAGAATTTCTAGTGTGTTTACAGCAACAGGGCTTAACCCTTTGGATCCTGCTACCCATCTACCCTCCTGAGCCCTTTCCATCTCTTCCTGGAGGGTTTCTAAACTCTCATTAGCTGACTGATGTTCTGGGAGGAAGACTAAGTGTATTTATGGGGAGATCATTTTTTTATATTACTAGTCAGAAGATTTAATAGCAATGTCAATATGCTTGCTTTATTGGGATAAGTGTATGCTTTTTTATGTGTGAGAAGTGGCTGATCTAGAAGGGCAGTGTGTATGTTTTGAGTGTCTGCAGGATCTGGCAGGGGTGTACTTTCAGAGAAGCAGAGCTCTAAGATGCCCACCTGGCCCCAATCCCTCCACTTCCCTCCAACCCCTTAACTGGTGTGGTCTAAACCGGGAAGCCAGGAAACCACCATTCTGGGGTCCTGGAAATTTTCAGAATGACGGAATTGATTGAGAATGTCGGTCAATGCCTGTATAAGTCCCTGGAACATTTGGGATGGAGACAAGGGGTAGACAAGGAGATACATGCAGTCAGTGCCATATAATCTTGTTTATCAAACCCCCTTAAAAACCACCAGATCCTAAAAAAGGAAAAAAGAGTCCATTTATTTCTGAGTCTCCATATTTCCGGCTGAAAAGGGCTGCAGCCACCCAGCCTGGAGAGGCAGAAGGCTTTTCTGGGGATAGATGGGACAGGTGAGGTGCCGGCTGACTTCCCTGTCTCTGTGCCGCAACCTAGCCGACGGTCGGGCGCAGCACGGACTTGGAGCCGGCAGACAGCGCCCCCCGCCGCYCTCTCGCCAGGCTCCGGGCCTCCGGAGGACGCTGGGGACCCCGCGCAACTTACCGTGCATGCAAGCCCGAGAACAAGCAGAGGAGGAGGATCATCTTCGGGGCCATGGTGTCCTGGAGCTYGGGGTGTAGGGTCCCAGGCCTCGGGCTAAGGCTGCTTACTCCGGAGCGTGGACTTTGTCTCCACAAGCTCTTCCCTCGCTCGTTGCCTCCGCTGCCGCTGGCTGCTGCGCGACAAGGGCTCCGATCCACGACAGCGGGACAGGTGTCTGCTCCCTCTGCTAGCCGCGCCCCCGACGGCCGGCGGGTGTGCGCGCGGCTCCGCGGGGCGCACACTGAATGCCAGGCTACCGCGGCGCGCCAACCCCGCCCGCGCTCTGGMGCCGGGTCTGCGCAGCCGGGTGGCTGGGGAACCTGGCCTCGCAGTCTCTAGTCCCCACGCGGCGCCGCCCACCCCACCGGGAGCCAAGAACCCAGAGCCAGGCGCTGGTGCCTGGCCGCAGGCTCTCCGCGGTGTGCGGCCGCCGCGCGCTCGGAGGTGGGGGCAGCGAAGCCCTGCCTTGGGTAGCGCCTCTGAGGCGGTCCCGGCGGGGAGGAGTTTCCCAAATTACACGCTTGACAAGGCGCAGGGAAGACAGCCAGGTTTGAAGGGACTCAAGAGTTTGAGGCCACAAAGGGGGCGGGGCTCCGTGGGGGAGGGGAGGTTGGGCATCCCGCGGGGAGCCTGAGGAAAGGTCCCGGGGATTGACACTTGTGGAGAAAGCTCCCGAGTTGGCGTTCCTCCTGTCATTTCAACACGAGGTAGTTTCTCACCAGCGCTCCCTGACCTCCTGTTTCCCGCCTCTGCCCTTAGTCTTCSTTTGGAGACGCCATTGTAAAAGGGTTAAGATGGCTAGCCGAACCGTCCCTCCATCCCACACGTGGGGCTAAGTCGCTGAACTTCTGTGCCTTACTAAGATTCTGTGGATTATGGGGAGCAAAGCACGCCCGCCCGATGTGTCCCTTTGCTCATGGAAAAGAAACGAAAGCATACCAATTAACAGTAAAGGTGAAAAATACTGGTAAAGGCAGGGAAGAAGGATCCTAAGTCAAAAAAGGAAAAGATGTTCTCTTTGGTTGAACTATGAAGTGCGCTTCATTCGATGAGTTTTCATAAAGATTGAAAGTTGCATTTTAGTTTTCATTGGTAACAATCACTCAGAAAACCAGTCCTTTATTATGTAAATATCACAATATCAGCACAGTAAACCCACTAGGAATTTTGCTTTTTTATCCCCCCCAAAAACCAAATAGTTCTTAGAAAATATTTTATATTTTCAACTACCACGCATAGAATCATGGAAGGTTGTGATAACTGTTTCTTCAATGGTTTTGTTCATAAAATATATAGAATAGTAAGTTGAGTTTCTCTGATGCTCTCCTCCTTGTTTCTGGATTCATCAACATGAACAGGAGYATAAAGTGGAGTGAAGTTGTTGGTGATGCCTATATTTTTGTTTATTTGTTTTTAATAATAGTGCTGTCACCTTGGCATTGTGATCTTCCTGTCTCTGTGAGGTCCTTTCCATGCCCAGCCTCTTCCCTTCCAAGGGCTCTTTCTGACATCTTCTTTTGCTTGCCTGTCACTCCTACATCAGTGCACATGCCCACCTCAGATCTTGATTTCTGTTGAGACTCCTGACATTCTTATATTTTTCTAGGGCCAAAACCTTACCACTTCTTGAAGCTTCCAGGTGATTATAAACCTTAGCATAGTGTACCCTACTCTTTAATTTCTGTACCACACAACTGAGCCCTCTAAAAATCAGTCGAACACAATGAAACCCATTATTCTATATAACAAAAAATGCACTAATAAATCAGTTAAATGATGACTTGTTCCTTAATTGCTTCCAGAAATACAGTCATCTCTCAATATCCTCAGAGGGTTGGTTCCAGAACCTCTAGGGATAACACTATGTGAGGATGCCAAAGTCCCTTATAAATAAAATGGATTAATATGTACAGTTAGTCTCCTCCCATTACTTATAATAACTAATACAATATAAATGCTATGTAAAGTTATTACAATGTATTGTTTATAGACTAGTAAAAAAAATCTATAGCTGTTTAGTAGAGACATTTTTTAAGAAAATATTTTGTATCTGAAGTTGGTTGAATCTGAGATATGGAGGACTGCCTGTATGTAAAGTCTGCACATATTTTAAGTGTGCTATGATAAAAGGCTTCAAGTATAAAGAAACATTTTTATGTTTTCATTTTTAACATATTAATTGTAGCATAGGTAAAAAATAATCATTAGATACTGATAATTTAAAAGAGGCCAAGAGCCTATACAATTAACTCATTTTAACCCTCATAGTATTGTTCCCATTTTACAGGTGGAGAAAAGGCACAAATAAGTTGAGTCACTTCCCCAAGATCAYACAGCTTGTAGACAGCTGATGGAAAGGGGGCAGAGACCTGAAACCAGTCATTGGTGTGGGAAAGTTAAAACTCAGGCAGTTCCAAGCATTCAAATGTTGAGTTCAATAAAACCAATATGTCAGTCTTAATAAATATGCCATACTGCCTCTCTGAATGGGAGCTCAATAGACATTGATTAGTTCTTTGAGCAAAGTTTTAGACTCTTTTCTGTGTTCTTTATTTTGGGGGTATAAATACAAATGCTTACAAGCTGTTTATAATAGAAAGAGATTGGTTCTTGAATGGTTTGTAAAATATCAGTATAATGAGAAGTGTACAGACACTTTTTGTTTATTTTTCATAACCTAGTCTATGGAAAAGAAAATGTATTGCTCCTTTTACATCCCTTTGTTGTTATTCTTTTCCTTTCTTGCATATGCTAAATGTTATTATATTATGAATGAGTTCAACACTGATTACTTCTGGGCATTGAAATGCTTTGCTCCATTTATTGGACATAGTGGGTCATCTTGGTACACCTAATATTTTTACCTTGGAAAGCCCTCCTTGCCTGATGGTTTCTGAAAAAAAGGTTTGTGTGTGTGTATGTTTTGTTTTCATTTSTTTTAAAACTGAATGAGTTGAGAAGGAGAGAAAATTCAAAGCGAGTTTTCTGTGCATAAGTGTGAAGGCAAAATACAAGGTCAAGAATTCTCAAAGGACAAGCTACCAGACTGATTTTCCTCCCTTGCCTAAGTTGACCAGCTGGGACGCTTTGCTTTTCAGAATAAAAGCTTTACGCACCCTCCATCCTGCCCTAGCCTCACCACYTGTAGCAGAAGTTGACAGTTCCACTCCGGACGTGAGCATTACATTGCCCTCTCCTAGCTCCAAGGAAAAGAAAGGGAGATTTAAAAAAAAAAAAAAAARGTAAATAAAAAGATCGGTACTTAATCATAAGGGGTAAGAGTTGGAGATCGATCAACAAAAACGAAGCACTTATATCTCTATAAATATCGAATGCGCCCAAGCCATGAGCTCTGTTTGCCATTCTCAGGTCCTCCACTCAGAAGGTTTTTGGGGAAGACCAGGGCTGGCCTGCGCTGCGTGTGGGTTGAGCTGCAACGGAGCTGGAGGCGGGAAGCAACCTAAGGGGGGCGGGGAGACTGGATGCCTTGACTAYGGGATCCTCTTGCGGCTTCTGTGAGAAATACCTCTCAGGATTCCTTTCATAGCTTCCCTTCACCTCCTACAGGCGCTAAGGAGCAAAGCCAGCCCTGGAGCTCAATGCACTTGGACCAATGTGTCCCTGATATTTTCTTAGAGGCTTCTGAGTTCTCTGTTCTGAATAAAATCTCTGCCATTCCCAAAATTAAATTAGGATGTTTTATGCTTTAATCCTTAAAAGAAAAAGCACCTTTCCCTCCTCAACTTTAAAGAAACTTATTATCGAGGAATAAGACTTATAAAAGAAAATGCACTAATCTTTAAAGTATGGCTTAGAGACTTTTTAAAACAAGTATATATTATAGGTGCACAAGTATTGTTTATATATCATCTATATTACCGTATAATACATTTTGTCCCTGCCTCTTCCCAATGTCTGGACTGTCTTGCAAGTCAATACTGACACTGACCCTAGACAACACCTATTTGTCTTCTGTCACAATAGACTGATTTTGCTCACTTTTTCACCTCACAAAAATACAAGTATGTAGTTTCTTCTATTTAAAGGCTTTCTCTCAGCAGATACAATATGTGTGAGGTGTTCCCATATTACTGTGTGTAGCAATCATGTATTTTTTCTTATTGCTGCACATAGTATTTGATTGTGTGAATATACTAATCAGTATTTATTTGTTCCCATGCCAATGGGCATTTGGATTGTTTGAAACTTTGAGATATCATGAATAATGTATCATGATGTAAACATGCATGTAAAGGTATTTYGGTGAATATATGTACTCAGTTCTCTTGGCTAGCTGACTAAAATAGAATTTCTGTGTTGCAACAAAGGCATAAGTTTACTGATAATAAATATTCCTAAAGACATTTTCAAAGCAGCTGTATCCCTGTATCACCCACTGGCTATATAAGAGTCCCATAAGCAGCCTTGATAAAATGAGGCCTTGCCATTATTTTTAATTGTAGCCATTCTGATATTTCCTTCTAGCTTTAACTTCATGAAACTCCTTTCAAATTCTTATTAGCCATTGGAGTATCTTCTTATAGGAAATGTCACTTAAGTCTTTGCCTAGTCTTCCACTGAGCCTCACTTCAGCCCCAAGGGCCTCTTTTGCCTCTGTCCATTTCTAAATTAGATTGTTTGACTTCTGTTTAATTGTAGGAGTTCTTAGTGCATTTTGATGATGAACCCTTTAATGTGTGTGTGTGATGAATATCCTTTTTCAGTGTATTGCTTGCCTTGTGTGCTGGTCAGCTTTCCAGTACTGTAACAAATACTTTTAAAAAGTTTTGTTTATCTGGACTCACAGTTTTGGAGCTTCCAGTCCATGATATATTGGCCCTTTTGCTTTGAGTATGCGCCAAGGCAGCACATCCTAGCAAGGAGCACGTGGTAGAGCAAAGCTTCTTACTTCATGGTGACCAGACAGCAAGAGAGAGGAAGAGACTAATGTCCAAGAGCACTACCCCAGTGACCTAAAATATCACATTGCACTCTACCACTTTTTAGTAGGACCACCCTA